AGTCTCTTTTTTTGTGTTTTTCTTAAGTTCGAATCTTAGCAAAAACTCTTCAAGCAACAACAGCAACTGAATCAAATTGGACCTATGATCAATCTTGGTTGGCAATAATGTGTACATCTCCATCAATTCTTAAACGTCATGTTGCTATAGCTCGTTTGAAATATCCTTGTAATTTAGGACGTAATTGTCAAGAAGCACGTTTTATTATTTTTATATTATCTCCGATGAGAGAAAAAGGAACAAAAAATTTTCTTGAAACAGGTCGTACATTTGCTACAATATTTGCTGATATTGAATTACGTGCGAAATTATTAAAAGCCACAACACAACAAGAATTTATTTCAATTATTGATGTAAAAATTATTTTTAATTGTTAATATATTTATATAAAATTTTTTTTTTTTTTTGTTATAGAAACATACAGATCATTTAATGGAACAACAAACATCACATACAAGAAATTCTTTACCAGATGCATTTGATGATAATACTATAAACGCTGAAGTAAGCAAGTATTTTTTATTTTTTGTTTTAAATATTTAAATAAAATTTTTTTTTTGTGTTTCAAGATGTTAAAAGTTAAAACATATTATTGTCCAATACTATTTGATATGTATATGGATTTATCACGTCGTTTACCACATTATTTTTCAGATTTTTATGATAGTAAAATTGAATTAAATTTTTGTTTACTAATCGTTTTATTCATTATTCTTTTTTTATTAAAATTTTAGTTTTTAATACACATCATGGTTCACAAAAAGTTTTATCAACTACAATTTTTCTTTATTTTGCTTGTCTTTTACCAAGTATAGCATTTGGTGTATTAAATTCTCAAGTAACAAATGATCAAATAAGTGTACCTAAAGCTGTTGCATCACAATGTCTTGGTGGACTATTTTTTTCAATATTTTCTGGACAACCATTAATTGTTGTTATGACAACAGCACCATTAACAATTTATGTTAAAGGTATAAAGTTTTAAATAGAAAAATCTTTATCTTGATTACTAAATATATATATTTTTTTGTTTTTTGATTAAATAGTTATTTTTGTATTATGTACTTGGTATCGTTTGGATTTTCGAGATACATATGCCTTAGTTGGTTTATGGAATTCATTTTTTCTTATTTTATATTCACTTTTTGGTGTTTCAAAAATAATGAAATGGTCAACAAGGTAAAAAAAGAATTTTTTTTTTTTTCATTTGTTTAATTTTCTAATTTATTCATTACAAAAAAAAAATTAAAGATCAACTGAAGAAATTTTTGCATTATTTGTTTCTATTGCATTTTTGGTTGATGCTAGTACACATGTCTATCGAAGTAAGTAAAGATATTGGTCTTTCTTGTTTTTTTTTCTTTTTTGGTGAGTGGAAGTTATCGGACTTATTTTATATTAGATTTTATACGTAATTATTCAACATCTGTTTGTAAACAATATGATGAATATTGGAAATTACGTCGAATGAATCAAACTGTAATGTTTAATTTTACAGATGAAGCTTTAGATGAACCATGTTCACGTGATTCAAGTCTACTTTATATTTTATTAACACTTGGAACAGTATGGCTAGGAACTTTTTTATATAAATTTAAACAAACACCTTATTTAACATCAGCTAAACGAGAGCTATTAACAGATTATGCATTGCCTGTATCTGTTATTATAATGTCTTTAATTGGTAGTCTTCTTTTTAGTCAAATAAATCGTAAGTTAAAATATTTTTTCAATATATATATACATATACAAACAATAATATATTATTTTAGTACAATCATTTTCTGTTGATCATGGACATCTTTTTGTATTAGTTCGATTTAAATCAATTACATTTAAACAGATAATTGCAACAGGTGGTCTTGGTTTTTCTTTATCTTTATTAATGTTTCTTGTATGTTATTCTATGAAAATTTTTTTTTTTCGTTCGTAAAATATAATTATTAATTATTATTTCTAGGATCAAAATATAGCCGGTGCTATTGTTAATTCACCGGCAAATAAGTATGAATAATAAAAGAAAAAAAAAAATAAAACATACAATTTAAATTTAATCTGATGATGTTTGTTTTCATATAGATTAAAAAAAGGCAAAGCTTTTCATATCGATTTGTTTGTCATTGCTATACTTAATGGTTGGCTTTCTTTGTTCGGATTGACATGGATGCATGGTTAGTTTGATTATATCTATATGATTAATCATATTTCCGTTTTCTGTTCTTACTTGTTTTCTTAGGAGCTTTACCCTTATCACCCTTACATGTAAAAGCACTTGCTGATACAGAAGAACGTGTTGAACAAGGCCATATACAATCAGTGTAAGAAAACATACAGTGGCGGAGCCAGGAGAGTCTCAGCTCCTCTAGTGAGATTTTTGAAAGATGTATTTTCTCTTCTAAAATCTCATTCGATGAGCTCAAAGATCCATACAAGATCTAAGTTTCTCTAATCCGAAATTCTGACTCCGCTACTGCAAAAAAAATAACAAAATTTATTATTTTAGTATTGTTAAAGTACGTGAAACTCGTTTAACAGTACTTCTATCACATATATTTATTGGTATGTCATTATTTATGCGTGATATTCTTAAACAAATCCCATTGCCAGTATTAGATGGTTTATTTCTTTATTTGGCCTTAACATCACTTGATGGTAATCAATTTTTTGAACGAGTTACATTATTTTTTACTGAACAAGTATGTTAATGAAAACATTTTAGCTTTTTTGTTGATTAATATATATATTTTTTTTTCTTTGGCTTTTTTTTCAAGGCTGCTTATCCACCGAATCATTATATACGTCAAGTTCCACAACGTAAAATACATCTTTTTACTTTCTTACAACTTCTTCAATTATTAATCTTATGTTTTTTGGGTTTTTCACCAATACTTTATAGTAAATTAGTTTTACCAATATGGCTTGTAGCTATGGTTGCTTTTCGATATCGAATATTACCAAAAATTATTGCTAAAAAATATTTACGAGCTTTAGATCAACGATTATAACCTTGCTTTTTCTTTGTCTATGAACAGAATATTTTTGTAAAAAACAAAAAAAAGTAATTAATATTAAAAATAAAAAATTTAATTTAGTATCATATTTGAAACCTTAAATGTTTTGTTATTTTTCTTTTTCTGTGGTCTAATATATAAAAATTTCAATTCTTATAATGAGGTTTCAAAGATTTTATTATATTTTCTAGGAATTTTATTTGAGAAGATAAGAATAGAAAAAAAAAAAGAAAAATCATTCATGTGTACAATAAACCAAAATGATAAAAATTGAAGATATAGAATTTGAATAAAGTAAATGAATATTGTAAACTATTTTATTTTTGTATGAAAATAAAATGAATATAGATTTCGAATCTGATAATGCGAAAGAATAAATATTAATTATAACACGAAGATTTTTATTTTTAATTACAGAAATTCATATCAAGTTTATGTATTTGATGTATACATTAAGTTTGACTAAAAATGTCTTCCTAATTAGATAGAATAGACAATCTTATGTTTTTTTTTAGAGAATTCATGTTCAAGAACTCTATCATTTGAAAGTATTCTCAAAAAAGAAAAAAACCTTTGATTTGTTTATTATCAATAGTAGATTCTCTGTTTATTTTTCCTACATAAATTGTCGAGTTCTAAGTAGAAATCATATGCAATTAGATTAATTCACATAAAAAAAAAAAAAAACCAAACTACGAAATATACCAACATAGAACATCGATGTGATGCACAACGTAATCAGTGCTACTGATAAAAAAGAAAAAGAAAAACTAGATAGAAGGAAGATAAATTGGGTGCAGGCTCTCGCTTCATCTAGAAAAAAAACATATATGTATATATCAAAAACAGTTATTATCATAACTATGAAAAGGTTAACAAGGGCTTCTTAGAGAGCTAATATAAAATTCTTTTTTCTTTATAATGACATCTAAATAATGACAAACAAAATGTTCATTTATTACCAAAAAGAAAAAAATTGTAAGAAGAATCTGATAAAAAAAAATTAATAAAAATTTTAAAATAATTTTATGTTACTAATAAGAAATAATGATCAAAAATTAACTTCAATAAAATAAATCCATACATTCTAAACACTATTTTCAGATATTTTTAAAGTTTTCATTACCAAAAAAAGATTATAATTTCAATAATGTATTTTCAATAAGATTCTCAAAAAAAAAGAAACGACAACGAATTTTCCTTCGAACTCATAGAATTCAATTTCTCAACTCACAATAGAAAGAAGTATCTATTTAAAATTAATCGTATCTAAAATTAAAAAAAATATATATATATCTAAAGAGTTTTTAATAGAAGAAAACTAAATATTTGATTTACACATGAATATATTAATAAGTCTGATCAAGATTATTGAAATGTAATCATTTTCTAGTAATTCATTCGTACAATTGCAAGAAATATCTAATCAATAGAGCTTTAATATAAAACAAAAAAAAAAGGCAAGGAAAACTAATTTTATTTCATGAAAATATCTTGAAATTTTTGACATATATTTTATTTAATCGACATATTTCAATCAAATCAATGTCAATTTATATTTTTATTACTGAAAATGAGATAAATGCCTTCAATCGAAAACTCAAGGTGGGTGTGCGTATATATATATAGATAATACTGATTAACTTGATGGGATAAATTTTCATCTGTACATCACATAAAGATTCTATTTATAAAAATGATTTCATATTTCAAAATTATTTGATATTAAATCAATAGAATTTCATATAAATTAGTAAATTTATTCTGTTAATGAAATAAAAATATGATTTTTCATGATACAAAACAAATTCTCATCACATGATAAGCAAAAAAACAAAAAAATATATTTATATATTTCTCTTTCGAATAATTAATTTTCTTCATATATCATGTTGCTTCTAATTAGAATTGCATAACTACTACAATGATATATGTAATGAATGAAAAATTTTACATATAAAATAATACTTTATATACAAAAGAAAAGTTTTATTTAACAATAATTGCTGGTGGTAATTGTCGATCAGGTAAAACTTGTCGATGAAGATATTCATATTGTCTACGTGTTTCAGTAATCTTTAAAAAAAAAAATAAAAATTATTATATCCAATAAAACAAAATAAATATACTTGTTGTTGATATGATTTTTTATTTTCTTCTAATTCATGTTTTTGTCGTTTGAGTTCATCAACTTCTTCAAGTAATGCTTCAACATTGATTGCTTTTCGTTTTCGACAATTTTGTGCTGCAATCTAATGTATACAAAAAAAAAAAACATATGTATTATTATTTCAATTAATTAAAAACACAAAATATTGATATACTTTATTTTTTCCACGACGACGTATATCTTTTATGATATGTATTTGTTCTGGATTTAAATGATTTAAATGTGATAAATGACGATTATATTCTTCAGTTGTTGATTGTGTTATATCGTATACTGTAAGTGGAATACTATATCGACGTAAAGCTTCTTCATCTTGTTGTCCTTGATAGTTTCCACGTGCACTTGTTCGACGTACTAATATATGAGAATTTGAATGTTCATCATATTCAATCTAAAGAGAAAAAAAAAACAATTATTTTGTCTTTTTTTGTTTCTATTAAATACTTTTTCTAATTTTGTTTCAATAAAAGTTCCATCAAATGTCAATTCACTATCATGTGTATATGAGTCACTCTATAAAAGAAGCATTAGAAAATTAATTTTTGAAATATATATATATATTACTTCAAGTGATGAATATAATCTTTGTCGTCGACTACTATTACTACTACTTATGGAATGTTCATCATCAATTGTAACACTTAAAAGATTCATTAATGAATCTTGAGTATTTTTATTTGATAATGGAATCAATATAGGTGATGTTGTTTGAGGAAGATTTTTATTATTATTATTATTATTTAATTGATCAGATAAAAATTGATCAGGAAACATGATATTATTATTAGTTGTAGATTCGTCAAGAGAAATATAATTTGAAAGCCAATTTGAATCTGTTTGATCGTTACTTAATGGAATACCTTCAAATAATAAATCACTATTTGATGTTGTTATTGATGGTATTAGTTGATTAGATGACGATGTTGATGATGATGATGATGATGATGATTCAATAGTAGTTAAATATTCCTCAATCCAATTCTATAACAAGAAATAATTATATTTCATAGATATATTATTTAAAAGAAAAGAACAAAAAAAAAAACGAAAGATAAACAAATCAACTTACATTGTTAGACAATGAAAAAGATGGACTTGATGCAACCAGCAATTCGTGAAAGATTTTCTCACCTGAAAATATTGAAAGAAAAAAAAAATGAAAAGAACAGCTAAATAAATATTGACAAAGATGACGGCGATAACACTCTATTGATGTTAATGAAATGAAATACGGTTTTTTTTTTCTTTTGCTTTCTTTGAATATCATCAACATATCTGATATTCTCTCTCAACAGTGTTGTATGTGGTCGAAATTACAACCTACATTTTATGACACATTTGAAACTTGAAACTAGGTCATGAAAATGACCAGAACAGAATAAAGACTGTCTTAAGTCAATAAAACTCGATAATAACAAAACAAATACTTTTCTCTTGCACTTTTAGACTCAAAAATTCAAAAGAAAAAAAAAAGACAATTTATGTGTTTTATTTACCAGTTTCCGGATCGATTTCATAATTTAAATCATCATCATCAGATGTTGATATATCATCTTCATCAGTTATTAATTTTTTACCATTTATTATAAATTGTAATTCAGATTTTTTATCTTTAGTAAAATATCTTTTGTTTGTATCATCATATTCAACATCATTGCCATCGTCTATCCAATTAGGTCGTACACCTAATTCATCAAAATCAATACATGATATATCTTGAATATCCATTAAATCCATTAATTTTGTATTATTGTATGAATTAATAAGTAAAAATAAAACAAAACAAACTTATTGGGGACGACGACTGGATGTTAGTTACTTCTAAAACAGAAAACAAAAAATTTATTTTTTTCTTAGATAGAAAAAAACAAATTACTTTTCTTTTTTTTTTTTCTCTTTTCTGTTCTGTTAACGAAAATAAATAAAAAAAAAAAAGAAGAGAAAAACAAGGACGTAAATCTCATAACTTTTATTTTTTAAAGAATTTATCCTCAAAAGTACTATCTTTTTTTTTTCTCCAAGTTTTTATTTAATCTATTTCATAATATATGTTTGAATTAATAATTTAAGAAATAGACAGATGTTAATAACAACAAAAAAAAAAGAAATGAAAACATCTTATATAAAAATGTTTTTTTATTATTGTTTTATTTTATTAAATATAAACTGATTTAATGAAAATTTTTCATCATCAATCTATATTAATTAAAAATAAAACAACAATCATATTTCTACTTATTGATAGTCTAGAATTTATCTGAACTCAAAAAAAATAACAAAGATCAATGAATTTTAACTTCTTCATGTCGACTAGTCGCTACATGAAACCAATAGTTCTGTCTTCCAGCTCGTTGTCCAAGCATAACTTTTCGTTGTGGTATTTCTTCAGGTGGTACAACACGAACAAATTTATCTCGATCAAGATCATCAAGAACTAATTCTTTTGGCCTAAAAAAAGACAAATTACAAAATTCGAGTTTTTTTTTTGTTTCTTTTCTAACCATTTAAACATTTGAGGAAATTTTTCTATATCATTCGATGTTAAATCATCAAGTCGTTTTGGTATAATACGTGAACCACGAATTTGATCACATACATTTTTTAATAGATGAACAGGAACAGCCTAATAAACAAAATGAAAACATTCTTTTTTTTTATTGTTTTTAAAATTTATTCTTACATCATCAGGAAATGTATATAATCGAGCCATATCAAAACGTCGAGTATTATCAGTTGGTATACAACTTAATACACATAAATGAAGAACCTTAATTTAAGTAAAAAAAAAACAAGTACATATTTAATTTAAAATTAATTTATATTCATTTACTTTAGTTGGATCAATTTCATGTAATTTAAATAATGGTATATCATATCTTGTCTTAGCATATTCACGTCTTACATGTAATGCATCAGCACGCCATGCATCATTACGTAATGCTATATGTCGAGTATTTATAGCCACAACACAATCACCTGTTGATTCTATTTAAATGAACAAAAAATATAAAGAATTTTCATAAATAGATAATAAAAATCATTCGCCTCTAATGAAGTTTTACTATTTTTTTAATAGATGTGTTCGATAACAAAAACTTCAATCAGTTCACATGTATCGAAATTATGATTTATATACATCTTCTATCATTTATGTAAAAATATGCATTCAGAACAATTTTATTTTATTCTTTTGATATATCACGAGTTATTACTTTGATTTTTTTTTGTTCGAGCGCTAAAAACAGAGTCACATATGTCTAATTTATTATCACTCAAGTTCGAGATGCATAGTCAAGGTCTTAGTAATTTACACACTCTGAGATAATGACACATATGTCGTAGCATTAATTCAGTTTCAATTGATGTTATAGTTCTAAAATTATCAAATAGAAAAAAAAACACTTATCATTTCATTGTTATTACGGAAAAAGTTCAATCGAGAGAGTCTAATGACTAGATAAACACTCTCCAGTTGTTCGACCTTCATTATTGAGATTTCCAAAAAATAAAATCATACTTTTGATTTTTTTTACCTAAAACTTTTTCTAAGAGGTTAGTCTGATCGAATCTTTTAAAATGAACAAAATCTCGGATCAAAATTCAAAAGCTAAATGTTCTATAAGAAAAATACGATATCTCATCAATTAATTTCCAATAGCTGGGGACTTATTCTACGGTATTAAACTAGTCACTAAGCTCTATCAATTGAATATAATTTCAGCTTAAAAAACGTTCTAATTTTGATGAAAATATTTGTGAGAACATTGTTAAGATAAGATGATTAATAAAGGACAATGATATGAGAATCATAAGACTAGTGCATGCGAACCAATGAAAGACGACAGGTTAGCACTCTGTTATCAAGGCTTTTTTTTGTCGCATATATACCCAAAATACATCAATTCAATATGACAAAAGAATAACAGTTGTTAAATATATTATTATAGTATGATTAAATTAATAATTATTAGAATGTTCAAAACATCTACATTGCATCATAACTTCAACTATTTTCTTTTTAATATAAATGCTAATACAAAATTCTTGATCAACAAGTGTTATTAATATATGTAAATTTATATTTATTCTACTCATAGTCAATCATCATTCTTCAACATAAATATTTCTATTAAAAAAAACCAATCTTCAAAATATGTGTCTATTCACATAATAATAAAAAAAAAAAAGTCCTTGTCTAATCAATCGAGCATAAGTCCTCATCATTCTAAAGAAAAATACAAACTAAAATATTCTTTTCCTCTTTCTAAAAAAAATCTTTTTCTTTGTAGCATATACATAATTTATAAGATCAAATTAACATAAATATGAGAGTATAATGCAATGTTCATAAACAAAATGTTTAAACATACCTCCGGGATAATAAATTGGTTTATGTTCACCACGTAAAATACGAGCAATTTTTTCACCAGATAAATGTGGACATTGCCATTTAGCATCAAATAAATACCAAACACGAGAAAATGTTGCTAATTGCTAAAATAAATTTTTGTTTTTTTTTCTACTTATGAAATTTTCATTTACTTTTGCTTTATTAAATGCCATAATTTATTGTTTGTATTTTTCTAGAAATATTTCATAATGAATAATACAAAAATAAAATGAAATTTCGATCGATCTATTCATAAGGAAGACACACACACATTAGAACAAAAATTCATCTAATTATCACTTATGTACATAATCAAAAATTCTTTTCCTAAGTTTTCATAATAGATCGCAATAATAAATCCTCTATTTATGAAACAGAATTTAAGATCGAAACTGATAATACCTTAGAAACTATTCATAAAAATAAAATAACTTTCTAGACAACACCTACTTGTTCGACTATAGGTACTCGAAAATTTAACAAAATTCATAATAAGTTAAGTAGAGAAAAATTTTGCTTATTTGTCAATTTTTGTTTTTTTGTATATGAAACTTGATCAAACAAGCTGTTGTTTGTTTTTTGCTACTGTAGGACTTCTTTTCAAAGTATGATTTTGTACTTCAGCAATTAACACATTATTGTATTTTTTGATGCTTTGCTTGGAGTACGTCAAAAAAAACTTATACGAAGCCAATTGTGATGTTACATAGCATTTGAAACTAGAGAAAATTCAAAATCTGTCAAGTTTTGAAGAAAGTTGATTAGACAAGTCAAATAAAGTGTGTAAATGTTTCTTATAAATGATCTCTTATTCTAGGTCGAAAATTTCCTAACACTGTTGTAAGTTTTAACTAATAATTTATGAGAACGAACAATGATAAGACTACCTGAATCTTATCAGAACCAACTTGTGGGTAAAAAAACGATTAACTCTCAAGTGAAGAAATAGTTTAACACTTCGCACATCAACTGTATAAACTTTACTAAAGGAATAATACTTGTTTTGATAAACGTTTGAATTTTATGTTTATCTTCAAAATTTTTTCAAATAGACTTTCATTCATTTGCTAAAGTAGTGATATAAACAAAAATGACTCAGTCTCTTGTAAAAATTCTCGAGATGCTCTCCAATAGAATTCTTTTTTCTAGTCATATCACTACTAGATCTCACTTGTATTTTTTTTTCTTCATTTTACATTAAATTAAATGTGATTATTTTTGAATTTAATTACAAATTTAATAAATAAATTCATAGATCAAAAAGTGTATTTGATTCTTAAATATAGTGACGTTCAAAGAAAAGAAAAAACAAGGAATAGTTTTACTTACCAACATGAATCGGTTCTACCGAGAAGAAGAAAATCAACAATCATTTTCTATTCGTTCGTTTGATTCATCCAATCCAAATAGAGAATTTAATAAGAACGTCAAAATGAAGGAGTATCCAAGAATAAGTATATAGAATATGGTAATAACAATTATTTGCATTAATAAAAATTTAAACTTGTTATTAACATGGACAAATATATTAAATTAAATCGTATTGGTAAAGGTGCATACGGGTAAATTTTTGTTGTAATATTAAAATTGTATAAAATCGAAAGTTTTTAGTAATACTCATATTATTCGTTAAAATGAAGTATATATATATATGAAATATTTTGTAAAATTAGTTTATCTATTGAGTTTCATCATCAATATGAAAGTACAAAATGACTGTACTTTCTTCAGTATCTTTGAATTTCTATCAACTGATAAAATTAAACTAAAATTTAATTGAAATTGTTTGAAACTAATATTATAATCGATTATCAATAAGTTTTACATATAAATAAATAATAATAATATTTAGCTAAATTATGCGTCCATAGAAGTCTTTTAAAAAGTATAAGTTAATATTTATTGTAAATATGAGTGCTTTATGATAGTGGAAGATACTTTTAAGAGAACGTAAAAATCTTCCGAGTAAATAGATTAAGTTAGGAACATGATATTCAAGCATATTATTTAACTGATAAGAAAATTTTCCTCTGATGTCGATGATTGTTTACCTGTAGATACTATATAAATTTGTTGAAATCATCTCTGTTAGGAATACTAAATTTTTCGTATGATGGCTTTGATTTTTTTGTTATTGTAATATGATTCATCGGCTAATGAATCGAAAAGCACATTTAGATACGTGATAAATTCTCTTTTTCTCTTCTAAGAAATAAATAGGTCAGAATGAGATACAAAAGCGACCTATCTGCAACTAGTTCGAAAAAGTATGGTCGTCTTTTTTGAATAATAAAACATAACACTTTCGTAAGACGTTCTAAAACATTGTCTTTTTAGTTAGTTTCAG